GCTATCGAAGCATCCTGGGCCTCCATAATACCTCAGCAGTGCCACAGGCTGATTGCCTCCATGCCACGCTGCATTGAAGCAGTCATTTCTGYAAAAGGATTCCCCACCAAGTATTGAGTGCATAACTGAACATAATTATTTGAAGGTTGACCTTTTTTGTATTAAAAACACTTTTCTTTGATTGGTCGGATGAAATATGCTAATTTTTTGAGATAATGATTTTTGATTTTTCTTTACTTTTTTGCCAAAATCATCAATATTGAAACAATAAAAGGCTTGAACTACTTCAGTTGGTGTACAATGAATCTAAAATATATGAAAGTTTAATGTTTGTCAGTGCATTACAGAAAATAACGAACTTTATCACAATATGCTAATTTTTTTAGAAGGACCTGTATTTTCGCTGCCATCTCTCAGAATAATAATTTTTCAACTTCTTTTTTTAATTTTTATTTTAGCTTGAACATGATAAACCATATGTAATATTCTGACATTTCTTTAGACTGATCTGCCAAAAATGGCCCAAATTAATCGAGGGACGGTCCCACATTGTTTTACAGAATTAACCGGCATGAAAATTTTTCTGTCAACTACAGGTTTWGAGATATTAAGGCTATAAATAAAACATCCCTGCCAGAACAAATTGAGACTTCCTGTGCTCCAATTTCTTCTGAAACGACGTTCTGAAGATGCTTTCGTTTCCATCCACCCCTGTGGGCTCTGACATGCTGTGGAGGTACAGAACTGAACAAAGTAAAACAGGACGAGTCTCATTTCCACAGAGATGTGTTGGTTTTTGACTGTTTGTTCATTCCACTTCCATCCAGCAGTCCGCCTCTTCCCACAGTTTGAGTGGCTGAGAGCATCTGGATTAAGTCTTYTCAGATTTAACATCATCCACTGTCCTTGTGCCAGCAGACAAGATGTGCTCACATCAAGGGTGGAGGTGATGACAAAGTCACTAATAAAGCAAATAAGAAAAAGGCAGACATCTGATAAACATCCTGCGTTCCTTYATAGTACAGAGCATTTATGAGGAGATTGTGTTCCTCAGTGCAGATAGCTTTTAATTACTCCTTCAAGCAGCTGGAATCTCTCCAATAAACGAGATGACATCAGCCAAGTTTGCTTGTCTATAACACCAGAACAAGAACAGGTTGTTTCAGAATGGCAGAATTACACTCTGTAAAACTTTCCCCCCTAAGATACTTTAGCAGCAGCACTGAGCTGCCACAGTGTGTTCAGCTGATGCCACTGCACGTGTGGGAGTTTAAAACCGCTCCACAGGCCCTCTGCTGAACTAACATTAAATGAGTTGGTGCATTGTGACATAAAATGAAGGACGTAAAGCGCCGGTGCTCTGGGGCTCAAAGACAAATGTCCTTGACTTTGTGTACATACAAAGTGCTGGTGAGGCAGTCCTGCTTCTGTGCTGACAAAAATAAAAGCCRACATGTCAATCTCCAGCTCGACTAAAACTGTCAAAGTCAACAAGTTTACATCAGCAATGCTTTTTTTTTTGGACAAAAGATGTTTCTTTTAAAACAGCAAGTGTAACATTTTATGAAAAGGGTRAAATATGGAGATAAGAAAATCTCTGACAGGTTTTCTTCCAATTAAGTCAGTGGAATACATGTAAATCTGCTGAGGTGCTTCTCCAAGCAGATTATTATTCCACAGAAATTCAAAACATCTTAAGTCATCTTATTTGAAATGTTGCTATGGATTAAGAGGCAGTAATTTTTATTATATGTTTTTTGTTTCCGTTGGAGAAAGAACATTTTTAAAAGGACGAGAACAAACATTACATTGGAATCAGAACAAGCCATTTATTCATTTTCCTGGAAGAGACATGTCTACGTAGGCCTGTTCAGGCCAGCCAGCGCCGACACATTATTGTATTCAAAACATCTGCAAAAGTCCCATTTGGGCCAGCATACCCACAAAAATAAAATAAAATAAGAAAATAAGAAGAACCACAAAGTCATTTGTGCACTGACAGGACAACTTGTGACCAAATTAATTGGAAAATTTATAAAAATGTTTGCACAATCTGAATTAAAAAAAGAGAAAAAAACAGGCCACTTTCTTTGCTTTTTGCCCTTCAAAGCAGGTAAAGCAGCAAAATTCTGCTGGTTCTGCTGCAACACTGGATGACGGATCGTTAGTCCAACCCACCAGAGTTCAGTCTTTAATGATCCATAGGTGGAAACATTATTGTGGATCAGGTTATGCCTGGATGGTGTTCTTGGCACTGAAGGCCATGTAGTAGACTAAAATACCAATCAGAGCTGCCACCACTTCGGTTGACACCCACGGGCCGCTCCATGCACCCTGAAATGAGGAGAAGGATYGATTAAAGAAATTATACATAAAAACAGATAATTCTTTCAAAAGGAAAATAATATTTCATTGTGATTAGATTTTTACGGTGCTGAGAATTAAAACATGGGTGACTGTGGAAAACTGATTGTAAACCCAAAAATTGACAATCAGATTGTGTTTATTGGAATTACATTATTTCAACAAGAACATTATATATTTGAGGGAAAATAAAAAAGATGTAGACACCCCCCCTCCACACACACACACACACACACACCTCACTCCATTGTAGATTATTTCAAACAGAACATTTTAAAAAGACAAGCTGCTGTGTGATGCTGATGCAAAATCCACTCAGTTGGAGCTGTGGATAATGTTAGAATCAGTTTTTAGACTCACCCTGTGGTCAACGTTGACAGAGAAGAGAGGCTGAATAGCGTTTACGTCTTCATTGTTCCTCTGAGCCTGGAAGAAAATCCGATGGCAGCATGTTTTTTTGAAAYATCTTTACTTCAAAAGATGACATTCTATAAAGCTGGTCATTTGTCTTATAAAACCAACCTTGCGCAGGGCACTGTAGGACTCCTCGTCAAAGAATTTCACCTGATAGGTTCCTGAGGCAGCTTGTTTGTGAGGAAGACTCCAGGACACCTGAAAGGAAGACTTATATTATGAACTGATTCAAGCCTCRTCTTAGCATCGTGTTCATCAACAACAACAACAAAAGGGTTACTTGCTTAGAATGTGCAGTAATGCTAAAGTCAAAGAGAAAATATGAGCAGGCTCAGCTCAGCATTTCAGACAGAAAAAAATGATTTTAACTCCATTAATAAACATTTATTAAAAGATGATAAGTATCAGATAAGATTTTTGACTCTTTCTAAAAGGCCTTGTCACACCACAGACAACTTATGAAATCTTTTTTATATCTAAATTTTCATAAAAGTTATATATTTAATCAATTTGTTAGCCTTACAGTATGTACATGCCTAAAAATGGCTTCCTGTAGATTTTTTTAATTCCATCTTCAACGCAGATGTCTAACATTTTCATAAGTTGGCATTAGTTGTCTAAAGCATTAGTGCGACAGACACTGAGATCAAATAATGCATATCTAGTAAATTTTAAATTTTGGTGGTGTTTTTATGATGACGCTTCCCTATCTTTATTTATTTTTAGTTTTTTGCATCTCTTGTCATCCAGAAAACCTACTGACATGTCTCATCTCTGACAGATCTGTTGGTTACTTCTCTGTGATCTCCTGCAGATAGTTCATTCTACTCACACAAAGGACACCAAGAGCCATATTTAGGTCAAATGAAGGGCTACTGATGCAAATTCAACTCTAATCTGTGATATTGGAGCCCATCTGTGGAGCAAGAGACACTAGGAGGCAGAAGCTATTATTATGTGTGTCCATAGCATTACAAAATTTGTTCTCTGCATTTAACCCATCACACATGTGAGATACACCCAAGTGGAGCAGCAGGTAAATACCCGAGGAACAGTTAAGAAATAAGTGATCTTGCTGAACGAGGACGCAGATATGGGCATGGCAGGGAACTGAACCTGTGACTTTCAAGTCAGCCGCCCAACCACTGCTCCACAGCCACCCAGAATAACWCAGAGGATCACCACAACAAAGTGCATTTAGGTAGGCTTTACTAAAGTGAAGTACAGGATACGGACTGCTTCAATATTTTAAAAACAACTTATTACTTGTTGCAGTTGGACACTAGTCTATATGATGGGTGCCTGCAGAGATTTCCCACATGAAAATACACTAAAACAACTACAGCAAATATTGTGTTTTTTAAATAGTCCTCTCAATGAACCCATACCTGGTATTTACCAACATCCTGACCTCTGGTTACAGGGAACTGTCTTCCATTGACATCAGCATACAGAGTCACACTCTGGGGAGGACAGAGACGATCATCACTGTAACATCAACAAGGGCTCATGCTTTGGTTTCTGACGTGCAGCTGGACAGGTACCTGGGCTCCGTTGGCACAAGTCAGGCTGAGCTCCACAATGAAGACGGACTCTGAAGAGATGACGGCGTCGGCGGTGGTGTAGGCCGACGGAGTGATGACCGGATCAGTGCAGGTCTCTCCTGGAAAAATGCAGACTTTAGACTAGCAGTAATCTGAGASATGGTCGCGTCGTCTAAACGTTTTACACAGTACACGTTTTACTTGAGCTAGCRTCTAACTTAGCATTGCAAGCTAACTGAACCAAGCAGACCTCCTTCGCGGGTTCTCGCAACACCTACCCGAACAAGCGACCAGCAGCAGGGTCAGGAAGGCGGCTACCCGGATTATCATGGYTTTAATTATGATTCGCTTAGTTTCTGAGGTTAGCTTGTTGAACCGCTGAGAGACTTTCACACGGTCTGTGAATGAAAGGACACCTCAGCTCAGCAGAGTTCACCACAGCGCATGCGCTGCGGTGACGTGGACTGACGCGCCGCACAGGATTCTGGGAAACTACAGTGTAGACACGTCATCCAAACAGAGCAGCTTAATTTCACCCATGTTGATGTTTTTAAATTGATTTGTAACTTCTTTCTTTCTTATCACAGTTAATTCACAAAAAAAAAAGAGCCAATTGAAATTTTCTTCAAAACTAGTCGGGGCAGATAAGGGAGTTTTGAGGTTCACTCATTGTAGTTTAATTTTTTTTTTTTTTTTTTTTTTTTTTTTTTTTGCACACAAAGTACTGAAATAAACACAATGGTTTGGAAGTATGGCAAGCTATTTGTGTATTTATTCAGTGTCCTTCATATGTGGTGGTAATTGCACATTTGACTTTGATGGGTTGGAGCAACCAATGGGAGCTGAATTTGCGTTTTGCATGTAATAATTGCACTTTTTAACCATGTATTATATTTYATTTTACTGTTATCACACAATTTGATTATGTATTTATTGTTAATGGTTATGTCTACAATTGAAAATTAGGAATCCTGCTAACTCAGGCATATTTACATCTTAATGTGCTTGTCTTTCACATAAATTAATTCAAATCTAAACTTGACACACGCTACACACTGTAAAACCTTCTTTTGCCACCTAGTGGCACTTTTGTCCAACTAGTTGGAGCAGATGTCATGTTAGGCATCCGTTTTGCTGCACTAGTAGCCCAAAAGTCCCAATTAGTTGGCTTTATCACACATTAGTGGACCACTGAATCAAACTGGTCGATGGCTGTGTTGTACAAGTTACTCAGTATCTACATAAATCACACTTCCTAATTTTTCCACAACATTTGAGTTGAACGTAACTTCAATAAAAGCCTGAGTGACTGAATAAAATATTTTGAAGATTTCCCTTGACTTCAAAATAAAATCTGAGAAAATGTGAATTATTTATTATGTATTTACAAACAAATTAAAGTGTGAAACATGTAAGAATAATTTACATCACTCTTACAGCATTCTTTAGAAGTTGTTAAAATCTTATCTTGAACAAAACTTTGTTCTTGAAGGYGTATAAAGCATTAAAAATCACTGAMAACACAAAGATCAATCAGATCTTTAAATCAGAGCAGCGGAACACAGACGCAGTCACACAGCAGCACTCATTTCACAGTCAAGCATTTCAAGTATTTCACAGATTTTATTTCTTCCTGCAGGTCTGCAGTCACTCCAGGGATTTACTGTAAAAACTCGTGTCTCAAAGGGATTTTGATAAAGGAGCCACTCAAATGAAATAATCCCAAACCAGACATGAGAGAAGGGACTATGGATCAGCTGACTTCAGCTTTCCAGTCTCTGAGTGTTGAAAGCTGCTGTCAGAGCTGTTCAGACAGCCCTCAGATTTCATCGGCATCTTTTCCTCTCGCTCTGATGGGAGTCCTTTCAGTCCAGTGGGTCGGCTGACCTGAAAAGCCTGGCCCCTTTCCGGCCCTCTCGCTTCCCCTTCTTCGCTTGAGTCTGGGCAGAAGGTGTCGAGGAGGGGGGATCCTGCTGAGGTTGTCTTAAAAGAAGTTCTTTGAAAACTGACTGCATCTGGCGACAGACCTCCTTCAGTACGAGAGGGACAGATGTGATGAAAAACGAGTAAAAATTCAGAATTAACCATTATCAGTTATATAACAATGCGTTCCTACACTCTGAACCTTTATCTAAAAAGACAAACTCACACTGAAGACATACCTTGTCCACTTGGACACAAACATCTTCTGAAGATGGATGTTGCTGACATCTGCAGGGAAAAAAAATCCACAATTATTTTTCTTTACATCTGCATCTGTTTTTTTTAATGAGTATACTGATGTAAACTAATTTCACAGTTAGTTCTCCTTTACATCAATTAGGCCCTGGCTAAAACTTATTTCTGTGTCCTCCTTTTGCAAATTTGTGCATTTACGGTTCATTACGCAAATAAGGATTGTTATGCTGTAAAAATAAATGTTTTCTCCCTGTTGGTTGATGGACTACATGCCTTGTTAATTGTTTGAGGCCACAGATGGAGAAGTAGAGGCATTGAAGCCCTTGACAAACTTTGAAGGACTCTTATTTTATAATAAAGCAGAAATGCATGCACGTGTGTAAAAGAGAAACATGAAAGTTTGAAAAACTCCACAAGAAAGAAATGCTTTGAGAAAAAAAATATGAATATTTATATGGCAAAATACAAAAAAAATAAAAATAAAAATAAACCCCCCACCAGGTCTTTCATTAAATAAAAGCCAATTCATTTAAAACTCATTGTAAAGTAAAAATAAAGATACTTGTGTTTTGAATGCATCTTTTCACTAGTGAGTGACTCACTCTTTGCGTGTGTAGTTAGGAGACAGTGGTCTCTTCTGCATGATMGGAGGTCCTACTGGTATCTGAAGAGACCTCCTTCCAGCTGTGGAACAGTCGCCCCCTGCTGGTGTCTTACTGTAATCTAAGGAGCCACTGCTGTGAGCTCGGGGACGCTCCACCTTCATCTGACCGTTCTCAGCCGAGGAGCCCGTCTCCAAATCTGCAGCAGCACAAGTTTCCTCTGTATTCAGATAACGTTTGACATTTGAAGAACCAAACATAACAAAAMGGGCAGATCATCTCACCATCTTTGCAGTAGGCGTACTCTGCTTCTGCTTCCCCTTCCTCAATAAGAGYCTCACTGAATAAAAGAGAACACGCACGCACAATCGAGCCACAATTCATTAYGTAACGTAACTGCTGTCTGAGGGGTCGAAACACGTTTTCAAAACATACCAGTCGTCCTGTTCCATGCTCATGCACTTCTCGTACACTGGCCCCGGCACTTCACTCAGACTGGGGAAGATGCTCTCGTGCTGCAGAATGATGCTCTTCACCAGAGCGTTGATGAGAGGCTGCAGGGCCACCACGTCGTCGTCCTGCTCCCCCCTCACCAGGCTGGGGCCGAAGCACACGGCCAAGTTGTACGGCTGCATCATGTTCTCATCGCTGTACTGAGTCACGCTGACAGGAAAAACAGTTTCAAAACAGWTGACAGGCAGGCCGTGAAATCAAAAGTAACTTTTTCCACTTTGTCATGATTTAATGGAAATAATCCCTATTTGACCTTTGACCCCTGTGGGCAAGTCTCACAGCTGAAAAAYGGTTTTGTAAACAGCTAAACATCTGGGATTTGTGGCCAGCCCCGTTTGCCTCTGTATCTTTATAACAAAATTAATTCTTCCCACTTGCGCTGAAACTTTTTTTTTCTGGCTTCAACACAACAGCACGTCTGATCAACCATAACTTCAATCACTACATTGCAGCCCCCCAAAACTGCATTTTTAATCCACGCTCCAAACATTGTCCGTGTAACCAGGTTTTACAATCTAATTTCCAACCAAAAAAGTATTTTTGATCTTGTTTTGAGACTGACAGAAGCAAGAGCAGACCGTATTAGATTGTTAATCTTGTTAGCCTGGAAATTGTCCTTATTTCAAGATGTTTTGCCAAGGTCAACTGTCTTACTGCACTGGCAGCTTACTTCACTCAAGGTTCACACTATAATCTAGTATTTTAAACATATTTTTAGATGGCTAATTTTTGCAGTCCAGAAAGTGTTTTTACTTTTTTTTTTCACAAGTCTCTCTTTTCATGCAGACGTTGTTCAACAGAACAGCGGATCACTACACTCGTGACTTTGTGAAACACACATTTTTGCCTTCTTCAGGGTAAAGAGTGCTGCTAAATTTGGATTAGCTAGCAATTCAGAGTGAAAATTCTCATGTCATTCAGGTCTCGATAGACATCGTTTCTGTTAACTGCTGAAATAACTTCCCGTCATCACTTTGCTGTTGCCCAACTATCTTACTTTCTGAAAAAAAAACAAAACTTTAAGAGTATGAAACGGTTTAATCTGCCTTACTACTAGTCATGACCCAAAAATGAGAAGCGACAGTACTCACTGATGAAGGAATGCAAAAAGGTATCTCATGACAACAATRACGGGCTCGGGGTAGGAAGAGACAACAGCCTTGAGCTGAGCTGCTCGCTCTGCTTCGTTCATTATTTCTGAGTAGGGGGAAGGAAAAGCGATTAAATATAAGCTGTTGCTGCACTAAACTTCTGAATTTTTACACATAAACTCCAACACGCACTTACGGGCAAACTCAAGGAGCTGACTGGTGCTGTCGCTGGGAAAGAGTGGATTCTCCAGACACCTGAAGTAAAGCTTCAGSACTCCAGCAACAGAATCCAGATCATATCTGCGCTCAGCAAGGGGGTCCTCACCTGCAGGGAAACCACACTGCCCCACATTATTAATGCTCTACAGTGAGCAAAGCTTTACCTGCAGACTTTTCCCAATTCAATCAATCACGCACACAGGCCTACCTCGCTCAAAAGCATCCCTCAGGTTGTTAACCTCCACCTGAGAACCTGGCACTCGAAAAATCCCTTCATGGTGGAGACCTGACGGGCAGACATGTCGATATCATTTCTCCAATCTTTTATGCTTCAGTTTAAGAAGTTATAAAGACAAGTGATACACCTTTCTACAGCTCTAAATAATCCTAAACCAGGGGTCTGATACCTTTACAATCAAAAAGGAGCCATTTGTGCTCCTTGGCTCGCTAATAAAATGTGTCCAGAGCCACAAAACAAGCTACAACTGTTATCAACTGCTGGTCCGTGGGCCTTTTCAAGGCCTTTTCAGAAACCTTTACGGCCAGTGGAGGTGACATTATAAAACTAAGGAAGATATTGTAACTTGTATTATTTATTATTATTTTTTACACATCAGGACAAATGAAGACCATAATCATGTAAACAAGAAAAATACTGAATGTAGTTTATATCGAATTTTATAAAAACTTCTACAACTGAACTATTCAGGTATACTTATTTTCTAATTCTTATTATTATGTAGTCTTCAAACTCTTTAATGGTAATTCTGATGGATTTGAGAGAAAGAAATTGTACCATTTAAGTAAAAAACAGGCTTGCTTTTTGACTTTTTGTGTTAGAAGTATTAATCACGTATTTGCATTTAAATTAATTTCTGTCGTGAGTATAAAAACAAAAAAAGATTCTGTTACGTTTGGTCACATTTTCAAAGAGCCACTGCAGAGGGACCAAAGAGCCACACGTGGCCCCAGAGCCGCAGGTTGCAGACCCCTGTCCTAAACTTACATTTCTAGCAGAAACCCAATAAAAGCCGAAATATGTTGAAATTTTCACCCATTTTTCTTACTGCTATCAATTTAGATCTGCGTCCTTCTAAAAGAAATCTCTTCAATATGAAACAGAGTAACTCAAATATTAACAATAATTTAGGTTTTTTTTTTTAAATCAGAGCTATTGCTTTCCTTTTTGTTTAATCTTGAACACTAACCGTTAAGGTTGATAAAGCGAATGCAACTTTCCACCACGATTGGAATCTGTTGGCCTGACGCCTAAAAAAATAAAATAAAATAAAATAATTCAGTGATGAAGTGAAAGAATAATTAAAGTATTACTGGAAGCTAAAATATGTACCTTTATGAAGGATAACATGTCTCCAGTAAAAAGCTTGTGGTTGTGCAGCAAATTGATGCTTGAAGCGTTCTTTCTGATTCGCACAGACCGTTGTCTAAAGAAAGAGAAAATTTAGAATTGGGTAATTTCAACATTTTAGGTATAGCACTTATGTCATCGTTTCTAAAATAATAATAAGAATGGTTAAAAACTGCTGTGATCATACCGGGGCTGACGGTCATTTGAAGCTTCAGCTAGAAGAAAATAAAAAGGGTAATTAAAACACGACTGTAAACAATCCAGTCAGAATATGATAGTGTGTTGTTCTTACAAAAAGGGAACAACATTATCCTGTAAAATGATAGCCCTCAGTGTTGTTGAGTGTATTTATGTCACTTTGTGTCAGCACTCTGTTTTGTCGTACTGTAAATGAGACTAAATGCAGAAGCTGTACCTTTTTCCACTGCCTCTTTAAGCAGGTCATGTTTGGCTTGGAGCTTCGACACCAGCGAGCTGCCAACAAGATAATCTTTGACTTTCTGCAACACAGAATCGTTTTCACACTGAAACCATCAGCAYGCAGCATTAGATAGAAGTGAACTGTTGCAGTTTATTGTGTTAAAAAAAGAAAAGAGGCTTACAGTAAAGTAGACGTTTTCTATTTCCTGCAGGTTGGCCCTGCGCCGGGCCACACTGGGCCTGATTGTCAGGTTTTCAGTGCTGCCCCCCTGAGACAGACCACCACCGKTGGACTGCAGATCATCGTCACCAATACCGTCCAGCAGTGAGGACTGGGATGTGGACATGCCTTTACACGCCTGATTGACAGTAAAGAGGAAATCAGATGAAGTGAAATAATGTGCTGTTAAACTTAAAAACACAACGAGCCAAAAGAATTAAATGAAAATTAAAAATAGTTTTGTGCAAAAACATCTGCAGAATGTAAAAAAAAAAACCAGTCGTTGCTCAACATCTGAGTTTTGCTACATTTCTGTTTTACCTTAAAAATAACACGTTTCAGTTCCACGTTTCCTCTTTTCACCGAGTTAAAGCTTTTCTTCATTCAAAGGTTCAGCAAAAATGCAAAACCTCARAGTCCAAATAAAGCGTTTCATTTTCTCCAGCTGAGAACACTTCCCTCAAACYGGCTGAGTTTCCTGTCAAAACGGCTCAAATTTAAATTTCTTCAGACGCATTTACATGCAGCCTTCTTCCTCTGTAAGAATGTTTACAGGCCACATGATAATGTTTGGGATGAATCTGTCAGGAAATCTGAKGCATTTCACTGATTTGTGCCCTAAACTATTCTTTGGAGAACTGCCTTTATTACAGAAAGATGCACGTTTCCAACACCAGTGTGAGTGACTGAGAACAACAAATCCTGTAACTGGATTTAAAATACAGGAAATTCAGTGACATAACTATTTTGAATCTTTAAAAAAAGATATTGAATTTAAAACTCTAAAAGATGTGAATGCTGTCAATTTTATTTTTATTTTTCCTTTTGAGTTAAACTATTTCCAACATTTGAAATTAAGTGGTATTTTTCAGAGTCTATTATTTAACTGGTTCTTTTTTTTTTCCAATATGTAAAAAAAATTAGTCCGTCCGTCCCCACCTTTTAGTTTTTTTGCAGTGTTGAAATTCAGTTTCAGTGCTGAAGACAAAGATGTGCAGTCAGTTATAGATTGGGTCAAACAGCATCCATCCAATCAAATCAGTTATCAAAAACACTAAAAAAAAAACCAAGACAGGTTACTGATACCTGGAGAAGGTGAGCACCAAAGAGAAAATAAAAAAGCCAAATACATAATATTTTTTCATGTCTTCAATCTTTTGGTGTTTTAATCTCAATGTCTTCAGAAACTCTAAATCTGGTGAGATTGGCTTCCATAAAAAACTGATGTATAAATTTCCAGCAGTAAGTGAAGGAGGGGAACACCCTGGACATCAGTTCATCACAGAGACTCTCAGACCCTTGAGCCCTTTTTATTTTTATTTTTATTTTTGGTAAAACTGTGATTACAGAGCAGGCAGAAAAGTGAAACTTGACATTTCCCCTGCAGCCAGAAGAACCTCCACTTACAAACACAGTGTACAGACTATTGTCTTCTGCCTCTGCACGAATGCTAAACTGCTGGCATTTTGGATCACAACAGAGAAATTTTCAGCACCTAAAACTCCCACTGGTTAGTTTTGCACACTTCAAACCACAATCTGTTGACCGGACAGGCCACAGCGAGTGGAACATACAAAAATCAGGAGYCGATACTGGTAAAAACAATAAATTACTAAAACCAAAAGTAGGTGGTCCCCAACTAGCAAAAACTTCCAAAGTGGTAAACAAACATTACAGACTCCCCCCTCAATTCTTTTAGCTTCTATTTTTGTTAAGAAAATAAGTGAACACTGCTGGATCTGTACCAGAAACATACTAATGAAGGTGTTAATCGGCGCGAGCTCTTTACCTCCTCAGTTTCCTGCGTGACGGCCTTCAGTCGGGTTTGTATCTGTTTGAATCGAGTCTCCATCTCGCACTTCATTTCACAGTCTGCACAGACCTCAGAAATCTGCGAGACACAAGGAAGCGTTGAGCTGCGCCGCTCTATATATATATATTCATTAACACGCGCAGATTAGAAAAACCACGCACCTGGTCCCCTTCGTGGGGCTGATAGGGGAACCGAAGGGGCATGGAGAAGGTGTTGTAGTTCTCCTGCAGCAGGGTGTCTCTGTCTTGGCCCTGGTCCAGACCTGAAACGGCCTCCTGGAGTTGCCCTAGACCCGAGCTTAGGTTCTGCTGGGCCCGCAGCCTTCGAGACAGATAGGCCTGGATGACCCTGCCCAAAGAGAAGTGGTAGCCCACGTCTGCACACTGAGGGAGAAAAACGGCATTTCTGACGACACCTGGAGATGTATAATCTTAAACGTTAAAGTGCCTGTAACACGCATATCCTTTAAATACAGAAAAAGTCAAAGAAAGCATCTTTATATTTAAAAAAAACTTGGCATAATTCACATGATTTTACCCATTTTGTTACATAACTGGCATATTTCTTATTGAACTTGGCTCAGCCAGAGTGAAACAGGAAGTGACATCAAAGTGGAACTAAGAAAACTGTCTGATCTCTATTTATTGAAACAATATTATTTGAAGTACGATGCTTCATCTCGCTGATAGTGACTCAAAATAATTTAAAAAACAACAACATCCAGTTCTTACAGTGTGTTAGCCATTGTAGCAATGCTCTTTATATGCTGTCATTCCCCTTTGACACAACTTCCTGTCACATTAAAATATCTCAACAACTGTTTAACTCAGTGTTGTGATGTTTTATTTTTTGCAGTATGCTCTCATAGTGTTATCTTCCCTAAAAAGCATCCTTATTTATTACAAAAACTTGATGTCACAGGCACTTTAAGGGTTCAAAGCTGCTGGGTCTCACATCTATGAGAGTAGTGATGTCCTGGAGGAAGTACTTGTTCATGGAAGAATTGGCTGCAGAAAGGTTCAGCWGGTAGTCGTTTCTGGCCTTGCTGCACTTCAGCTGGATCTCCTGACATTTCACTTGTCTCTTTCAAAACAAAAACAGCAGGATGAAGCCAAACCGCCACCAAAAAAAGTCAACATGTACACGTGCTTCAGAACAGAACGCTTCATTTACTTTTTCTATCAGCCTCTCCAGTTTTTTAGAAGCGTTCTGCTTTTGCTTTTCCTCCTGCTTCTCCCTCAGTTTCCCCTCTGCACACATGAACTCAGAGTGGTACTGGTAGTACGTCCGCCATGCCTGCACACACAGAAGCAGCTCTGCTTTGGTTCTTTTTTTTTTCCTGGCATGTTTTAATGTTTTAAGAAAATGGAAGTTGTTTTGGACTCGCTGTGGTTTATTATCTCTTACGGTCTGCAGCTCGGTGGTGACCTTGAGTAGCCCATCTTGTAGCTGAGCACAGATGTCTTTACTCTGGAAACAGATTGCGGAGACAAAACATTGCAGATGGCGCAACACAGAGGGAACACCGTGAGCTTGAATTACTCCAATGGCAACCTTGTTACACTGAAGCATTTGTTGTTGTACCTTTTTAGCGAGGCGTTGAGTGTAGTCCAGACAGTGTATGATGGGCTGGATCAGAAGGTTGCTGCAGCTTTCGCTGAGTCCATTGTGGTCTTTACTTTCCTGCCGGGTTTGGGACAGCAGAGCCACCCAAACCTTAGACACTGTGTGAGTACTGGGATCCTTCCTGAACACAGAAACACACATGGAGGAGAAAAAAAAAAACAGGATTACCAGACAGCTGGCTCAAATGAATCAATCTTATATGCCCACTCTTCTTACCTTTTAATCCTCAAAGTGAACCTTTCAGCAAGTTTCTCCAGGGAGCGGGCATACTCGCTCTCAATCTCCCCCCGTCGCCGCAGATAGTCGCTCATGTCTTGCAGCTGCTGAGTCTTCTGCTCAAGTTGCAAATCTAACACCTTGAGTTGATCTACAAGTTGGCAACGAACCTCTGAGAGATGAAGAGGAAGGGCGGGCAGAACAGAACTGCTGTCAGCACCTGATTTAATCTGAAAGTCTTTGTGCAGAGTGAGAAACTAATTTCACAGCTTGTTGTTCTGCAAAAGCACACACACACACACACACGCAAGTGAGATCAACAGACTTGATGCAGGTAAGTACCTTTTATTTGTGTTTCGTAGTCCAGCGTGCCGACCCTCTCCTTCCTCAGCTTCACATGGGAGCTCATCGTTGCGCCAGCAGGACTGAATTCTGGGACACAGATCAAAACATGTGAACGTTGACGATGGGTTTCACCTGCCAATGGAAACAAGCTGGAGGGGCAGAGCCTAGTCAAAGCCTGTGACCCATCGCTGCACACTTCTTCACAAACTCCAACCAACCACACCAACTTCCTGCTGCCACAAACAGCAAAAGAGCAAAGCGCTTGTTCATCTTACTGTAACACATCTCCTCAGACTGGCCGACCCCTTCGGCTGTGCTTCACTCCTGCAGAAAAGCAGCTGGCATGCTCGGCTCGGCTCGGCCTGCTGCAACAGCCAGGCTGCAGAGCTGCAACAACGAGCCTAAAATAGCTCTCGCAACATCTTAGCTGGCCTAAAAATAGGTTTGAACCAAGAGGCACAAAACTCTCTGAAGGGATGTTTGCTTTAAAAGACAACAGGTGGTTTTTAAACAAGTGAAGCTCGAGTTTACTGACAGTCGCACTGGAAGGTTTGATCATCTGGTTTTTTTTGCTCAAACTTAATATTAAAAAAGATAAATCCCAATCCAGGATTTGTACAACAAGGTTTTAATTGACTTCTCAAAAGATTACACAGATCAGGCCTCTGAGAAAGAAACATTATAGAGACTTGAGGTTTTACTCGTTTGACATCATGTGAAAAACAGTTATTTTTAAGCATGTGGTGGTGGTTTCACAAAGAAATGACGCTCACTCAGGTAAAGAATGCTTTTTTTTTTTTTCAAAAATACACAGAAGAATCAAAAAAAGGGGAACAGTAGCTTTTTTCTTTCTGGGTCATAAAATCACAATTGTTGCCCTTATTCACCCTGTACCTTTTCACTTCCCCTTTTTTGTATTTCTTCGTAAAACACAAACATCCCTCATCAGTGTTCTCTTTAGCCGAAATGTCCTCTTTTTGCTTTCTCAGTTGACACATTCASTGACCCACTGAACAAATGACCTGCACTTTTGAACAAATCCAAATAAATTCCCTCATTTTTCCAGCACGTCACCCTTTTCCATTTAGACCCACTCAGTCTTTCACTGTGTGATCACAAGCAAAAGTTATCGCCGTCACAGTCTGCTGCAATATTTCAATAACCTGAGTGCCACCGGTTCTTAACTTTTCAACATGTATCACTGCTGTCAGTTGTTTTCAAATCCTAATGATTTCTAGCTGAAATAATCAAGCAGAACAGGATGCACATTTGTGTTAACTCTTGATTCTGATTTGGCTGGGTGAAGATGAATAAAGGTTTAGGACAACGGGGAGTGGGGGAGATAAATAAAAAAACAATTGTATTACCTTATGAAGAAATGTGCAGACTAGTCTCTTCTCTTGACTCGGGCAGCTAAATAATGCCAGTTAACAGCACAGTAAACTCTGAACAGTTTCACCTCCCCCTCACATTGGACATGGATGGATGTGGGTGGAGTGGAACTCATCTCTGTGACTCTCTCTCTCTCTCACGCACACACACTTGCTGCTTTGCTACTCTCTCTTTCTCACCCCTGATCACACACACACATATTTGAGGCATCAGTGTGTGTGATTGTGCAAATGTGACAAGCCGGGGGGGGGGGGGGGGSTTTCAGAGACAAGCCCTTCCTCTTTTTTCATTTTCATGCTGCCTCTTGAGCTCCACAGCAGAATTTTTTTCACCCCAATCATGCAGCTGTTTCCACTGATTGCTTCATCCTCACTGGTTATTTCCCAGTGACTGAATGAAATCAACTGCTCCTCCCCCATCATATACATGTATATATATTCCTGTGATCATAATGCACAACAGTTCTGCTGCTTCTTCTTTTTTCCTCCATCGAGCCGAAGCGTCACAATAAGGTGTTAAACTGGGGCTATTTATATTTWAAAAAAAACTTGAGTTCACTGCACATCATTTGTTCTTATCAGCCATTCAGCTCTCTTTGCCATTTCCTTCCTCATTCACACAGTTTGGACGGTGTTGCACAAGCGCATTGAAATTCCTCCCAACTGACACTTTTTGGTCACTGTCACAGAGGACTCGTTTCGAGTGTTTCGTTTCATTTTATTTATTTATTTTTGGTTATTTGATTAAATCGTCCTTTTGGTTTTAAAAGCAAGAACTTTGCTTCACTTTAAAGCTCAGATGATATCTGAGTCTCTGAACTTAGCATCTACAAGTTTTCATTTTGTGAAATGTTATATTAATGTCAAATTATTTGTTGCTTTCTGTTTAACCGTAACAAAAAGTGTGATTTGATATGAACATTGGACGTCCATGGTTCTCAACACATGGCCATAATTTGCAGGGGGGTTTATGCCCCCCCAYAATTTGATGCATCCAACCCCCCCACTTAATAAAATTACATCATTTGCTCTAACACAATAGAAATTAACTGGTTAAACACACATTTGCAACTTCCTTGTTGTCTTTAGGTAAATGACCCGATTTCAAAATGTAYGATGACATATTTAAGCATCATTGCTCAAAATAACATTCAGCRTTTTAGTCTGCTTTTGTCACATTGTGGCTGTATTCACTGCATCGTGTTTTGTGATTTTTCCTAACCAAATTGTAGTGCACCAGGTGAATATTGGAAAATGGAGAGATTTGGATTTATAATACATCCTAAAAATGTTAAWTATTTGTTACTGTTGGAAAAAATGGGGCAGGAGGAAAGTGGGCCTTCTCTTAACTGTTGAACAGAAAATGTGCTGAGTGAATACRAAGGAAGTTATGTAAATTAAGTAGAAGTATTACGATGTATTTTAACACCAAAATATCCAGAACTGTTTTACAAAAGTAAATGATTCTATAAATAAATAGGCAGAGAGTACACCCCCCTCACCCCCACCCCAATAGACCTAAAGTTACACCACAGATTCGTTACGCCACAGGATTCCTGTAATGGTACTTTTGTTAACAGGCTAATTTCCCATCGTTAGTTGAGTTGCAAATTACAATCCCATTATTTTTTTCTCAATAGCTCCACTTGAATAACTCAATAGATTGAAGTASGGAGTCAGAAGCAAGGCACAGGTTGATGCATGTTAATAAAAAAACATTTAAACATAAAGATTGTGAAAATGATTAAGATTTTTTTTATTAAAGCATCTGTAGCTTGTTGTATTTTTATGTAGTATTTTAGGGCATGAACAGCCTCACCTAAAGAAAACTTATTTAGGCCTGTGTCCCTTAGCCAAAAGGCTTTGGAGAAAAAAGTGAATTTGGTTTTCAGGTTCAGAAAAGATGTTGAGTTTGTTTGCTAAGGACACTCAAACTATGAGATGTTTCAGTACAAGATGCCATAATGGTGGTATTTGAAGAGCTTAGTGTTTTTTCAGGTGATACTTGTTTTATGAACCACTGTTGTAATGGTGTTTTCTGATCCAACCTCTGGGAGGCACTGAAGTTCACATTAGTCTTATTTGTTTCAAAAAGTCAAAATGGTGATTTGTACTTATCAAGCACGGGTTTTACTGACAGACTTCCTTTAACAAGTCATGACAAAATTTCTTCCTGTGATTAATAAAGTCCTGAGTATGAATGTACTGTGTATTTGTTAGGTAGCTCTTTAGGTTACATTCCAGCCTGATGATTGAGTTTTCTTGTGCTGTGTTTTAGTTTGTATTCTTTTATTTTTACATTGCCTCAAACACAACAAAGCAACCAAGACCTCACCCATGCGCAGGTCGGACTGGGTTGCATTAAATAAATAAAAAAACACGGTACTTTGATTTCTTCTGGTTAAAGATTCCTAAAAAAAATAAAAAGGTTGTAGCTCAGTTTTTTTTTTAATCAAACGTTTTCACATTTGATTTCAGTGAGGTACTTGACACGCTGTCTGCACCCACATTTGCAGACTTTTCATTAAATTTGGTCCCAACATCCTCATCTGAAGACTCTGGTTTTCTGACCGGRAAATTCTTAATAATGTGATATTTTTAGGTCTGTCTTAGGACCTTTTGAAAATTATTGCTGGAAACTGCATTTTTGATGCTGGATGATGAAGAAAAACTAATTTGAGGCTTAATGTTTTTGTAGTGCTAATATTTTTATGTATTTTGTAATAAAACTTTTCTTCCTTGTTCGTATTTATTATAACAAAGGACCAAAAATATACCAAATGTAATGTTTGAATATTTTATTTGTAGTCATTTGGCTTGTAACCTAAAAAGTCCATTTTGTCTTTAACTGCAAAGAAATTACAGTCTTTTAATTCAGAAAGCACCAAAAGAAAAAAAAAAATAGACCAATTATTTTAGGTTAAATTTAGATAGGACATTGTCTTCAACCCAGGTTTCTTTGTTGATCACAGCAGAAATAAAATACAAGAATGAAGAAACCTGGAGATGTGGCTTTGATCCAAAATTAACTAGTCTTAAAAACCAGAAACTGCCACGAACCGAGTTAAGAAGTGATGCTTTTAAAAAGGCGTAGAACTGCAGCGTCATTGTGAATCGGATGAAGAATCTTTAACGTCTGTGCTTTCYGTTGCCTCGCTGACTTCGCTCAGCTCTTTGCTCTCTCCTCCACTGTCCCTCTCGCTTTCTCTCTCCTGATCTGCAGAGCCTGATGGACTCTGGCCAGACGGGGCCTCTTGACTCGACACACGGACCCCAGGTTTCCTCAGCTACAGGAAGGTATGCAAAGGGAGAGAAGACTGTTTTAAAACAAGAMTCTGCTTACCTGGGAGCCACCAAAAATCATGTAAAAAAAACCCAGAGTGAAACCTTTTAGAGTGTTAAAGTCACCTCATCAGCCATGTGTGCCAGATCTCTCTTCATGGCATAGGCATCCTCTCCGTCCGCGTAATACTTTGGCTCTACTTCACTAATCCTGCAATGAGACAACACAGTTAGAGAAGGTATTGTCAGTGTGACTAATATCTTTTATGGAAGTAAAAGACCTGCAAAGTTACAAAAAAATAAATCTAAAACAAGAGGATTTCTTTTCAATCTTCTACATAAAACACTTCTCTTCAAATTTATAAAGTGTCTTTTTTAATTACCGTTTTCTTTGTTCTCATGCAATGCCTGCATTTTAAATGACCCAAGAGTCAAATAAACAACTGACCAATCAAACTAGGAAGACTCCCAAAAACAGCTTCTTAAAGACAGAAACCACCAGAACCTGTTAAATTCAACATTTGCAAGCTTTATGCAATTCAAGCATTGCATCAATATTTGAAATTATTTATTTTTTTACACAATGAATGTTAAAAGAATTGAAAAACACAAGATTTAAAAAATTTAAGGCTGAGCTTACTAC